GCCCACTTCTGATGAAGTGTGCATGCACATGAGAGCTCATACCCAGGATTAAACTTTGTTGGTCTTAAAGGTGCCTCTGGACTCAAACTTTGTTCTATCCTTTTACTAACAACTTGATTTCCCCATTTGGTTATGAGAGTGAAGGAAACGGGCACAAGAGATGGGGGTTGATTGTGGGAACTCCATGTTTTTGCGTCTTATGTTATTGCAGCTCCATAAATTCTGTTGAAGCTCCGTGGGTGGGTCAGGCAATAACAGCACAGACATATGCCGAAGAGTGTTTGGATGCTGCAGCTAGTGCAGACCACTCCTGGTTGGGGCCAGCTATTGGGAGCATGTGACCCCCCCAATACTGCAGCAATTACACTGGCTACTGATCTACTACTACTACTTGTTGTTGTTCAGTTGCACAGTAGAGTCCGACTCTTCGTGACCCCATGGACCACATCACGCCAGGCCCTCCTGTTTTCCGTCGTGCTCCGGAGTTTGCTTAATTTCATGTTCGTTGCCTCGATAACACTGTCTAACCATCTCATCCTTTGCCGTCCCCTTCTTCTTTGACCTTCAGTCTTTCCCAGCATCAGGGTCTTCTCCAGTGAGTGCTCCCTTCTCATTTGGTGGCCAAAGTGGAACACTCAGGGTTGATTTATTTTAGGATTGACTGAGTTGATCTCTTTGCAGCCCAGGGGACTCTCAAGAGTCTTCTCCAGCACCATAATTCAAATGCATCTGTTCTTCAGCACTCGACTTTCCTTATGGTCCAAGTCTTGCAGCTATACAGTACTACTGGGAATACCATTGCTTTGACCAAATGGACTTTTGTTGGCAGGGTGATGTCTCTGCTTTTTATTATGCTGTCAAGGTTTGCCATCGCTTTCCTCCCAAGGAGCAGGCGTCTTTTAATTTCATGGCTGCAGTCACCATCTACTACTACTACTACTACGTAAAGGTGTTGGTTTTGTCCTTTAAAGCCCTACGTGACTTGGGACCGGGGTATCTGAAGGACTATCTTTTCCCGTATGTTCCTGCCCAGAAATTAAGATCCCAAGGGGAGGCCCCTCTCAACTGCCCCATCAATCAAAGAAGCTTGTTTGGTGGGTCCATGATAGAGAGCCTTTTCAGTGGCGGCCCCACAGTCACGTGACTTGGGACCGGGGTATCTGAAGGACTATCTTTTCACGTATGTTCCTGCCCAGAAATTAAGATCCCAAGGGGAGGCCCCTCTCAACTGCCCCATCAATCAAAGAAGCTTGTTTGGTGGGTCCATGATAGAGAGCCTTTTCAGTGGCGGCCCCACAGTCATGGAACAATCTCCCCATGGAGGTGTCCCTGGCCCCCTCACTTTCGATCTTTAGGAGCCAGTTGGTTTTATTTAGGACCACGTGTGGTTAAGCTTACTAGCAGTCCTAAATTGTGATTTTAAATTTTGGCTTTTATGTATTTTATGTTTTTTTTCCTGTGTTGTAAGCTGCCTTGAGCTCTGTGAGGAAGAAAGGCGGCTAATAAATATTTTAAATTAAATAAATAAATAGAAATAGAGGGCAGGAAATTCAGTGCCATCCTAAGCAGGTCTACTGAGAATCCGTAGATCTGTTCAGTGGGACTTAATACCAGAAAAGTGTTTTTAGGATTACACTGATAGTTGAGTAAGTGAGGCTGGGCAGAAAATATTTAAGATTTTTTGGGATGGCTTCCAGTTCATGACCTACAATTTTTAATCTTCTGGGGACTAGTATGCGTGCCTAATGGCAATATACTGGCTACAGTTTTTTTTAATTAAGCAGTTCATTTAGGTCTGCAAAATGTCTAATTTTTAGCGTACAGGTTTACCTTTGCTTCAAAATGTACTTTCTGATTATCATAATGAAAATGAAGAGTTGGATCTTGTACTAGTGCCTTCAAAGTCTGTGGCTGGATCCAGACTAAATTTTGTAATGCCAGAATGGAACTTTCATGCCTCCCCCCCCCACCACCACTGTAGCCTACTAATCTCCACAAATTACTGCTCCTGGGGGACAGGGGACCCAGAGGAATGGCTTGGGGGGCCTGCAGTGGGAGGGGGGAACTAGTGGAAACTGCCAGTGTAGCCTGGATCCAACACAATTTGAACCATCTTCAGGCACAAATTCCCTAGACTGAAAAGTTTGCGTCTAGAATTCTTTTCAGGTTAGCTCCAAGACAAGTGGCTAGTCCACACGTTTGTCTGTGTTTTTTACTTTCTCGTCACTTGATCATTTGCAGATGATTGTGTTAACTGACACAATGGGGAAAATAGTTGTGTTCAGTGGTTCCTACATGTCATTTGATCAGTAATGACTCTGCAAGACACGTGGGGTAAACCATGGTTGTTAACAGAAAACAGAGAGTTACAGAAAACTGTGTCTTGATGTTATGAAACATTTGAGTTTCCCAGAAGGTATTCCCAAGCTGGAAAAGCTAGGCACTTAAGAACATAAGAAGAGCCCTGCTGGATGAGATCAATACTCATCTAGTCCGGCATTCTGTCTCACACAGTGGCCAACCAGTTACTCTGGAGGGGCAACAAACAGGGCATAGAGGCCGAGGCCTTCATAAGAACATAAGAAGAGTCCTGCTGGATCAGACCAGTGGTCCATCTAGTCCACCATCCTGTTTCACACAGTGGCCAACCAGTTCCTCTGGAGGGCCAAGAACAGGTCTATATAGAAGCCAAGGCCTTCTCCTAGGAATGCCAGCCTCCAGGTGGGACCTGGGATCCCTTGGAATTACAGCTCATCTTCAGATTCCAGAGATCAATTCTCTTGGAGAAAAGAGATGCTTTGGAGGGTGGGCTCTATGGCATTATACCCCACTGAGGTCCGTGTCCACCCCAGGCTCCATCCCCAGGAGTTTTCCCAACCTGGATCTGGCAACCCTATCTTTACCCCCATCCCTCGCTGGTGGACAGGAGGTACCTGGCAACCCTACCTTCTCCTGATGTTGCCTCCTGGCTCTGAGATTCAGAGGATTAATCCCTCTGAATGTGGAGTTTCCCTTTAGTCACTATACACTATGATGACACATGAGCTCTAGATTGCATTTGAAATTGCATCTTTAGGACCAAAATAGGAAGGCTTATTACTGTAGTACCATTTAAGATATATGCACCTGATTAGGACACAAGGCGATATCATATGAGGCATCTATTGTTCAGCTCAACCTTGAACCACTGATAATTATTATAATATAATTTTCACTTGGTCCTATGTTGAATAATACTTTGTTTTATTACTGCAACATTGAGCCTACGTGTATTATTTATGCTTGACCACTGAAGAAGGCCAGTTGGCTGAAATGCGTTGAGTCACAGTGAGGTCCTGTTTGTGAATATTGTACGATTTTAATTCTTATTGAGGCTACATTTGGGCCTATGACCAATGTTCCCTCTAAGCTGTGGAGTCTTGTGAGCAGAAATCCTACTTTGTGAGCTATTGGCCTTAAAGTTGTGAGCGAGCGATTTGGCTACTGCATACATTAGTTTGCTCTGGAGCCCTCCTTCCTGAGCGGAGACAAAAATGTATAAGCTGGAGGCTGAAAAACTGTGAGCTAGCTCACACTAACTCAGCTTAGAGGGAACACTGCCTATGACTGTTTTTAAATCATTTGTAATCACAGAATCACAGAGTTGGAAAGGTCCTCCGAGATAATCTAGTCCAACCCAGGCTATCTGCTCCAACCCCTGCGCAGTGCAGGAAATTCACACCCCCAGTGACCCCCGTTCCATGACCAGAAGATACATGTCTTTTTGATGCCTGTATTATCTATATGTTAATGCTGTATATCTGTTGATTTTAAGATTGGGCCCTCCTATTTGTATGTATTTAACCTTTTAGGTTCTTAATTCATGGTTCCCTTTAGTCACCATGTCTAGTCTCCATCAAGCAAGGACAATCAGATGTGAAACAGGACACAGAATACATTGCATAAATAGTTACTGTCTCCACTAGCAAGTCCGGGATTTTACTTTGTAGTCATTGAACATTAAAAGTTTCCTAGGAGTATGTATGGCACAACACTCATGTTTATTTGGTTAAAGGCTTAATTTTGTCTCTGCAAACTTTCTGGGCTCTAACAATTATGTCTACGTAATAACAGCTGCTGATAAAGAAATATAGACTCCGATATAGCTGGGGGAAAAACAACTGATTACAGTAGTCTATATTTAATACGCAGATTAAAAGACATGTTGGGAACTGGCAACAGAATATTCAACTGTTGGGGATGCAGAAGCAATTTAGAGTAGAAAAGTAGCCCTTCTGCATACTTCCCCCACCCCCTTGTACTTGTCCATACCTCTGACTCCTGAATGAGATGAGGGTATCAGCAGTGGCAAGGGGGTTGGGTTTGGATGCACACATTTACATGTGCGATGTATTGGGCATCCTTAGAGGACTTTTTAGCTAAATCCTTACAGTTTCTGAAGGAACCCTGATTTGATACACAAAGGACGTAATGCAAACAGATCTCAGAACTGCAACATTTATGGAGCGGTTGAAAGTCACCTTCCCCGTTCTTGGCTGGTAGAATTCGCTAGAATATCTCTGAATGACGGTTGTCCTTCGATATAATCTTCAGCAAGACGTTCTGAGTGCAAAGTTTTAGTCTAGCGTTCCAGTTAATAATAGAACTTAGGGTGATTGAATTAATTCAGCTGTATTCCATTAGGTAATACGGTCTTTTCTCCCTCGTACACCATCATTAACAGGACTTCTTTGTGTGTGTGTGGTTGGGTTTTTTTTGCCTTAGACAATCTGCTTCATCTCAGCTCGTCATCATTCCAGGAAAGGGGTGTCCCTGGGGCTCTCTCTGCTAACAGTGACATGGTACAGAAGATTTAAAATCAGGTAATTGGTTCCCTCCAGATGGACTGGAACTGAAACTTCCTCCTTCCCCCCCCCTCCCCACTTTGAAAATTTCTCTTAATTTTTTTTTTTTTTGGTTCCGCCCTTTCAGCTGATGTTCACAAGGAAAAGAGTCACGTGATGTATGAAGGCAAACACATACACTTTTCTGAGGTTGACAATAAGCCGTTGTGCTCGTACAGTCCCAAACTGTGCAAGCAGAGGCGACTCAACGGCTACGCCTTCTGTATCCGGCACGTTCTGGAAGACAAGACCGCCCCCTTCAAGCAATGTGAATATGTGGCCAAGTACAACAGCCAACGTTGCACCAACCCCATCCCCAAATCTGAGGACCGCAGGTGAGCAATGGGGGGGAGGGCGTTGCTGAAGTCGTTGCACTGGCTGCCAATAGCATACCGAATTTGCTTCAAGGTGCTGGTTCTTACCTTTAAAGCCCTATATGGCCAGGGTCCGACATACCTGAAGGACCGCCTTTCCCCATACATACCCCAGAGAGCACTAAGGCCGGGGTCTCAAAACCGACTGACCCTCCCAGGTCCCAAGGACGCCAGGCTGGCTACTGCCAGGGCCTTCTCAGTGGTGGCTCCATACTGGTGGAACGAGCTCCCAGAAGAGATCAGGGCCCGGCGGGATCTTTTACAGTTCCGCAGGGCCTGCAAGACGGAGCGCTTCCACCAGGCTTTCAATTAGGAGCCACCACCACTATTACCATCAATAATCTTAACCATAGAGCCCTTGGCTTTGACATCTAGCCTGTGCCACCACTTGCATTAGGAAGAGCACTGAGCAGAAAAATTGTTTAGACCTTGTAGGCACTCTTCAGGACTCCATCTTAAGCAATCAATGAAACACCACCAGCACTTTATGATTTATGATCTATTTATAATTAACTTGTTTTAGATGATTTTGTGTGGATTTCACTGTTATTTATGTGTTAATCAGTGTAAGCCGCCCTGAGCCTGCTTTTGTGGGGAGGGCGGGGTACAAATTGAATGAATAATAACAACAACAACAATAATAATAATACACAGTACCTAAAAGGAAGGGTACATGTGTGTAAACGTTCCCACAAGAGTAAATCCCAGATGCTGGTTCCAAGGGCATATTTTAGCCCTCATATCCACAGTCCTAGCAAGGCCTCCGGAGAAGAAGAGGGGAAGGCAAAAGATATTTAACCAGGGGATGGTTTTATTGTCCTCTTAACCAAAGATGGTGGTGGAAAGTGTTGTCAAGTTGTAGGCGATTTATGGCAACCCTGTTGGGCTTTCAAGGCAAGAGAGGAACAGAGGTGGTTTGCTCTTGCCTTCTCTTTGTGTCATGACCCTGGACTTCCTTGGTGGTCTCCCATCCAAGAACTAACCAGGGCCAACCCTGCTTAGCTTCCAAGATCTGGCAAGGTTGGGCTAGCCTGGGCCATCCAGGTCAAGGTAACCAGTGACAGAGTATCAAATAAAAGGACAAGCAGTAGCTTTCAAATCAAGATACATCCTAAGCGGTAAATCGCACCTGATTGTTCTAGGCAGTTCAGTAATAAAACATAGTAGCAGTTGACTTGTGGCTGTCCAAATAATAAGCAATAACTTCCAACCACAAATTCTTAATGCTCAGTTTGAATTACTCTACCCCCAAAATATGAGCCTCCAAGGCACGTATGGCCTTTCCCCACCCTTTTCATTGCTTTGTGGAATGAACATAAGAACATAAGAGAAGCCAATGGCCCATCCAGTCCAACACTCTGTCACACAGTGGCCAAAAATACCAGGTGCCATCAGGAGGTCCACCAGTGGGGCCAGGTCACTAGAAGCCCTCCCACTGTTGCCCCCCCCTCAAGCACCAAGAATACAGAGCATCACTTGCCCCAGACCAAGAGTTCCTATCTATACCTTGTGGCTAATAGCCACTGATGGACCTCTGCTCCATATGTTTATCTAGTTCCCTTTTGAAGCCGTCCATGCTTGTAGCTGCCACCACCTCCTGTGGGAGTGAATTCCATGTGTTAATCACTCTTTGGGTGAAGAAGTACTTCCTTTTATCTGCTCTAACCCGACTGCTCAGCAATTTCATTGAGTGCCCACAAGTTCTTGTATTGTGAGAAAGGGAGAAAAGTACTTCTGTCTCTACCTACTCTATCCCATGCATAATCTTGTTAACCTCGATCATGTCACCCCTCAGTCAGGGTTCTCGAATGACTCACCTTCATTTTTAACACCCAACTGAGTTTTAATTCTGCGATATTCAGCCTTGAAAATTGTAATGACCCGAAGGTTGGTGCCCTGCCATGATATAACCAAGGGCATTTGAGGCTTGCAGTTAGGTCTTTGCATCCCTTTCTTCTCGGGCTTGGTAACACTGGAAGAAAAATAGAAACTTCGTTAAAGGATGGCCTGGACTGTTAGAACAGGCGGCAATTTGTGTGCTTTGTCTCGTCTTCAGGCACAGGATCAGAGTGTTCGGGATGTAAGTTTTCCCACGGAAATGTGTTAAACCTAGCACAGCTATTTTTATTAAAGTAAGAAAAAGATTGCATTGAAAGGCTTCTGTTGTGTTTAAATGTCACATTTCCCCATAAATGGTCTCTCTATAAACGCAGGCTTTAATTTTTGCAAATGTTCTGGTGTGCATATCAAATTGGAGGAAAATGATTTTTGTGGCTAGAATTTATGCAATGGAATCTGCCCCACCCCAAAAAATTCAAGGCATGTTCCTATTTTATTTCATTTGCAATTAACCGCAAGATGCGGTTTAAATTTGCTGCATCCATATTTTGCATAAACAAGAACAGATTTTTTCAAAAAAAAATCTTTGTTAAATTATACGTTGATTGTTTTGATCCTTTCATTTTCGCTTTCTAAGTTCCCCCACCATTTATAAGCATTTTGGGGGGGGGGGAAGAGAGAGAAATAACCTCAGTCTTTTTGCTTTTCGAAGGTACTGCAACAGTCACCTACAGGTTCTCGGGTTTATCCCGAAAAAGGAGAGGAAGAAAAAGAATGATCCAACAGAAGAGGTGAAAGTTCGGCACCAGATGGACTCCATGGCTTTCAGTCTGACGGTTCCCCCGCTGGCCTTGAAGATGCCCAACGGACTGGATGGGATGTCCCTCTCTCCGCCGGGGGCTCGACTTCCTCTGCACTACCTGGATGCGGATTTGGAAGACCCTTTTGCTTTCAACGAGGAAGACGAGGATCTCAAGAAAGGGGTGACCGTGAAGAAGAAGCTGCAGAGCAAGCTAGCCCAAAACCGACAGCGCCAGAAAGAAACGGAGATCCTGCGAGTTCGCCAAGAGCACTTTAGCCCCCTTCCTGCACCTCCGCAGCAGCCTCTGCAGCCGCCGACGCAGCCGACGCACTCCCATCTCCCACCTTTACCAACCGCTTTAAAGCCAGCAGGGCTGCCGCAGGGCTTAGTCTGCAAGTCACCTCAACCTCAGAACACCAGCCTACCAATGCAGGGAGTGGCGCCCACCACACACACTATAGCACAAACCAGGCAGCTGTCGAACAAGAGACCCCTGCCTCTCCCGCCCCCGGTCAGGGGTCCCGCCCCCGCCCCACCCCGGGCCGACAGGATCCTCATGAAAGCCACCGCCTTCTTGCCACACTCATCCTGTATGAGCCGGCTACAGAGACTGGTGAAACTGTGCACTCAGAAACAGCAGCTGGACGCTGATCTGTTTCCACATTTAGGTAGGCGGAGAACTCCTTCCCACTCCAGGTTTTTTTTTTAACCCCAGTTCTCGTTCAAATGTTCGTGCTTATCGTATAAGTGAGGACTGGCCCGGGCTAGGCCAATCTCGTCAGATCTCAGAAGCTAAGCAGGGTCAGCCAGTTTGGTGTAATGGTTAAGTGCGCGGACTCTAATCTGCGAGAACCAGGTTTGATTCCCCACTCCTCCACTT